GAGAACGAACAACGAATTTATAAGGGTATGAACATCTCTTCCTAGTAAACGTGTTTTTAAAAACCCAAAAAAGACAATATCTGCTAGCGATGAGCTTGGGCTGATACACTTCTTCTCATATAAAATCATCTTTTAAGGATTTTTATTGATGGGTAACACGTGTAGGAGGAGCAGAACAAAATTTCATTGAATTGTGCATACAAATTCGATCCACCTAAACCCTGTTAGATTATATAGTTTGAGTTGGGTCACTAATAGGAGTGTACATAGTCGAGTTGGGCTAGGTTGATTAAATTTTTTTGGACCAATAAAAGATTTGGATGGGTTGAATTGGTAACTCAACCTAACCCATATTTTTTTAAAATTTGGTAAGATGACGGTGAATTATTTTTTACAATAATTATTATTTAGGACCTCGGGTTGTGATTCAAAACCCTAAAAAATTAGATATTTAATAAAAATAATATATATATATATATATATATATATATATATATATATATATAAACACATATAAACATTTGAAGACTCTAATCATGCAAAGTGTCTAATGTCTGCATGAAGTCTAACACATAAGCGTGAGAAATCGGTGACCCGGCTTTGATGTCATGAGCTCACAGGACAAAATCGAATTTTCATTAAGGATAAATGAGTGACATCAGCTTAAACATCAACTTAAGCTAATCAAATAAGTAGTCTTTCTACCAGTATGGTTAAAAGTTTGTGTCTTGTATGATGACACGTGCTTCTTGGTTCTGTACGTGTCATATGTTTGATATGTATGAAATATTTATGAAATGATATGTCTGTGATATGATATGCTAATGATATGATACACGTTATGATATGACATGTGGATAAAATGAAATATGATATCATTGCCGATATGATGCAATATTGTAATATGGTTTATGATATGATACGTGCATGAAATGACATGGTATGTTGGAGGATATGTTATGCACATGATATGATATGACATGAATGACACACAGTAAATATATTTCGACACGGTAACCGTAATATATGTTTTAAAAGCTATGTTATAAAAAATGATATGATATGAAGGACAATACGAGGGGTTGTTTTTATATGGTTTGATAAATGAAAAAGGTTGGGACTTCATGCATCACTGTATGTTACATGCATCGGAAAAGTTCTCTATTTAAGATGGATACGAACGTGTACATAACGAAAAAGGAAAATTATTATAATGTTTATTATAATACTACGGCGGACACATTCTATCGGGTGTCCGACAAGAGCATCAAATAATGCTAATCCGACAAAGATAGGAGCCTAAGAGGTGTGCGAACTGACTGGTGGGTACATATTCGCACGTATGGTCGTGTGTGTAGATAGTAAATACACATCAAATAAAGCATAAATATAATAATATTTTTATTAATTTATCAAAAAAAAAAAAAAAAAAAAAAGGTTTTTGAGCGAATCCAAAATTTTAGCCCTACGTAACCCTCATTGGTTATAGCAATCCCCGTCCCTGATTTGGCCTTCTCCATTTTCTTCATCTTCTTCCTCCAAATTCCCTAACGCTGCTCTGTTTCATTTTCATTTTAATCTTGAAGAATATTCTGATTATGGCGGAAGATTTTTCTCTTGATTTGGAGGAGCTTCGTCACCTCCAAAGCATTGCCAAGAGGCCTCGAGTCATCTCTCTAATTTCCTCTCAGATTTGCAACTTAGAGAAGGTTCTTTGCTGTCTTCTCTTATGAATTTGAACTAACTTTGGCCTTTTTTTAATGATCGTAAATGCACGTTATTGTAGAAATCTGAAAGTTATTGTTCGGTAATTGTTCGTCATTAGCTGTTCTTTCGTGGCTTTCTGAAACTGATAATGTGATGGAAGTGAATTCTGAGCTATGGATATCTATTATCTTAATTCTTTTATGCTACCATCTGTGTAAGGCTTCTGCATTGTCTGTTTGACCTAAATTATAATGGTGTATGTTCACTCAGTTGTCAAAAGAGACTGTCTCAGCTCCATCCCTACAAACTCCCACTCCCATTCCAATTTCAACTTCGACAGCTAAGGTGCCCATTAATTCAGCCATTGTTTACACTCCACTACCTGGATTCAGCTGGGACCAGGACAATGATAAATTGAAGGTAAAAGGCTTCAAGTTTCTACTGGATGGCATGATTAGAATCCTTTTGTGAAAATTAGTGTATGTTAAAATTTAAAATGATCTTGTTCTCCCATTTGGGTGGGATGTATGGATGTAATTTTCATTATCCTTTTTGGGGATGTAGATATATATATCTCTGGAAGGAATTGACCAAGAAAAAGTAGAGGCTGTCTACAAGGAAACGTCGGTCGATATCAAGTTCCATGATGTTAAAGGGAAGAATTATCGGTTTGCAATTCCTAAGCTGAATGAGGAAATTGTTCCTGAGAAGTGCAAGTTCTTAGTTAGACCAACACGGGCTGTGATCACATTGTTTAAAGCTTCAAAGGGGAATTGGTTAGACTTGCAGATGAAGGAGGACAAGGTAAGTGATTTAACAGACAGTAAGTGGCGATCTAGTTGTATCTGGGTAGCATTTATTCAGCTAACGTTATGTTTTTTTTACATCTTACAGCTCAAGCCAAGTCTAGATAAGGAACGCAACCCAATGGCAGGAATCATGGACTTAATGAAGGTAACAGCTTCTTAGCCTATGCAGACTTTATGGATTGAAAATGAAGGAACGTTTCTCTTTCTTTTCTTATTTTTTTGGGGTGGGTGGTCCTAAAATTTCTTTCACATTTATGCCTGAGTTTTGGTGAGTAAAGAGTGGATAAAGATGATGATGTGATGTGTTCTTCAAGTTACTTAGATGGGCTGGAAGGTGATAAGTGAAAGCACCACCATGATTGAAATCCCATCTTCATCTGTTTAGGATTATGAGTTTCTTGACAACAAAAGTGTTGGGTCGAATGATTTTCTTGTGAGATTTGTCAAGGAACACACTTCAAATGGGTTGTGAGATTGGTTGAGTTACTAGACACTTTTTTTGCCATAGCTGTCATATGTCTATGGAGGACAAGACACTTTGAGCTCGATAATTGGGCTGAAAAAAAGTCCCATGACCTGAATTTTTACATCAAGCCTAACTAACTCATTCTTGGTCTTGTCACTGTCCTGTTTTTCTTCTTGTACAAATTCAAAACCAAACTTTTCAATTGATTTTCAACTAAAGATGTATATCGATATATTGTAACAGCTTAAACCCACCGCTAGTAGATATTGTCCTCTTTAAGTTTTTCCTTTCGAGTTTCCCCTTGAGGTTTTTAAAAGCGTTTGGAGAGGTCTTCACACCCTTATAAAAAAATATTTTATTCTCCTCTCCAACCGATGTAGAATCTCACAATTCTTCCCCTTCGAGGCCCAGTGTACTCGTTTACACTCATTCCTCTCTCCAATTGACGTGGGATCTCACAATCCACCTCCCTCGGAGTCCAACGTCCTTATTGGCATACCACTCTGTGTCCACCTTCCTTCGAGACTCAGCGCTGTCACTGGCACACCGCCGGGTGTCTGACTTTCATACTATTTGTAACAACCCAAGCCTACTGCTAGCCGATATTGTCTTCTTTGGGCTTTTCTTTTCGAACTAACCCTCAAGGTTTTTAAAACACGTTTTCTTGGGAGAGGCTTCCACACCTTTATAAAGAATGCTTCAATCTCCTCTCTAACTGATGTGAGATCTCGTTCTTCTCTCTAATTGATGTGAGATCTCACATGTATGTTATGTTGTGTGAAATAGGTACACTTACATGCGCCTCTGATAATCTTATATACAATTAGGATAAGCATGAAACTGTGTCTGCATTTAGGCTGAACACTGACCTCCGTGTGACTGCTGATTTAATGACTGACATGAAAACTGCAGAATATGTATGATGATGGTGATGATGAAATGAAAAAAACGATAGCCAAGGCATGGACTGATGCCAGATCCGGCAAGACGGCTGATCCACTTAAAGGGTTTCCTTGAGCCATTGCTTTCCAAATCTAATAATCATCTTTTAGGAATGGTTCTTTGTTTTTCTTATGATCAGTGGACCGCGTTTGGCTGGCTTTGCTTATATGGTTTTGAATCCTTTCTATTTGCTTTAGTTATGGAGTTTGTATAAAACTTGCTCCTGAGTTTTTTTATCTATGAAAAGTTCATGTTTTGCATGGGTTAATGGGCTGTTTTAAGGAATGATGGATGTTGAAAATTTTGATCAACGAACTCAAATAAGAGCTTTAATAAGAGAGTTTAAAGCTCGGTATTCTCTCTTTTTTTTTTTTTTTTTTTTTTTTTTTTTTTTTTTTTTTTTTTTTTTTTTCGGGAATACTTCAGCTAGTTCAATAAATTAAATGGTCATAAATAGTAAACAATTATGTATAGTAGATGACCGTATCTAGTTATTTATGTACTTTCCGCCAATATTCTTCTTTGCATTTTCTCTCTCTGATTATTTATCTTCATCTGGATCGAGTGTGTGTTGTTATGTGATCCTAACATTTAACATTTAATGCTAATTTTTGTAGTGTCGAGTTGTTACCTAATCAAGAGAGATAAACGCACAAAAGATTTGACCATTTATTCAACACGGCGGAGTACGTTTAGATTTTAAGAGACGGGCAATAGTAAGAACCATAGATAGCATTGAAATCCACAAGCTTTGATACAAAGAGGGCAAGAGGAAGTTATTAGAGAAGTATATTAACAAAGTGGGGGGTATTTTGGGGAAAATATTTAACAAAAACAAACCCTATTCTATTTGTTTCCTAAGCCTTCCCAAATCCCTTATTGTATTGTTTTGTTGGGTTTTTTCAAGTCAACAAAGGGGTGAGATTTTTGAGCTCAAAAGGGCGTAATCTACAAGCAGCCAGCCTTGATTTATATGCTGAGTTTTTGTAATCCCACCATGTGAACTCTTTGTATAACCTTTGCTCTCCCTCCTCCAATATTGATGCTAAAGGTGCAATCTTTTCATTCAATGGTGGCCCACCAAAGTAGATCATTGAAAACCTTGGTTTTGTTGGGTCAGCTAAAACCTTGTGCTTCACACTGTTAAACCTCCCATTAGTCATCACCTGCACCAATACAACTCGAATTATGATCCATCCAAGAATAAGAAAGAACAAGAATCGTATCAGCCTAAGCCATCTTAGCATATTCGTTTTCCTCTCCAACCAATGTGAGATCTCGCAATCCACTTTCCTTTCGTGATCCAGCGTCCTTGCTGGCGCACCGCCTTGTGTCTACCCTCTTTGAAGCTCAGCCTCTTTACTAGCACATCACATGGTGTCTAGTCCTTGCTGGCATTCCGCCTCATGTCCACCCCCTTCGAGACTCAGCCTCCTCATTCTCCTCCCCACCCAACGTGGGATCTCACTATCCACCCTCCTTTGGGGCCCAGCTTCTTTACTGTGCACATCGCCCTGTTTGGTCCTTGCTTGCACATTGCCTCGTATACCCCCCTAGCTGATATCATTAGTAACAGCTCAAGTCCACCACTAGCAAATAGTGTTCTTTTGAACTTTCTCTTTTGAGCTTTTCTCAAGGTTTTTAAAACGGTTGGCTAGTGTGAGAGGTTTCCGCATCTTTATAAAGAATGTTTCGTTTTCCTCCCAATCGAGGTAGCCTTCAAAACAAAATATAAACAAAACCATCCCAAGATTCCATTGCCATTTCTTGAGATGAAAATGGCAGAGAAAGAGTGGGCTATACCTGCAATGAGTCGCCAACATTGATGAAAAAGGACCTCTGATCAGGTGGGACTGGAACCCAGCTTCCATCTCTCAAACAAATATGGAGTCCGGTCGTGTTATTGGATCTCAGAACAGATATTATTTGTGGGTCTGTATGTTCCCCAAACCCAATCAAATTCCTGCCACTCAAAGCTTCAAGCTCCGGGCATGGCGGATAATGGTTCAACCTGAAACAGCAGTCACTTCTCTCGTCCTTCAACAGCCTGCTCAAATCATGTTTCTCTATCCCCAGCCCTTCCGCCATTGCTTCCAGCACTTCACAAGCCATCTTTTTCACTGCCAAAATATACTCCTCCACCGCACACCTACGACAAAAAACACGACAAATCAGAAAACAGAGCAACCAAAAAACAGAGCACTCTGTTCTTAGTAATTTTACGTGTTTTTACCTGAAAATCTCTGGATTTTCACGGAGAATGAAGAGGGATTTTTCAGAAATGAGTTCATGATTCGTGTTAAGGAGGAGATATTCGATCCAACCCACATCGCCGTTTGGGCCAATTCTCTTGCTGCCATATCCAAATGGGTCGGCTGGCCCTGCTTTTTCCTTCTCAGATTGAGGGAGGTGGAAGAATTTCAAAGCTTGGGCTTCGAGAGCTCCGATGAGGTCGTCGGAGACGCCATGGTTGACAACCTTAAAGAATCCGAAATCTTCACAGGCTTTGACGATATGGGTTTTGGCTTCTGGGTCGGAAAGGTCGATCACCGGAATTCCGGTGAACAGGGCGGTGTGTTTGCAGGATTTGATCGGAGCAAAATGGTCGAACACCAGCTGTGATTGAACCACCATGATTGAACAAGAAGGTTTTTGAATTTGAACGAGGAATTGGATGAGGAGGCATTAGCCTTGGCTTACAACGTATATTTATATACCATCAAGAATGAGTTGCTAATTTTAAAAAACAAATCATTATTATTTACCATTTCATGTTTATATTTTCAATTCAAAAGAAAAAGAAAAGGACATGATTTTCTTTTTATTTTTAACAATGAACTTGTTGTTTGATCATGATGTTGGTTTGAAGGGTGGTTGATTTTGAATGTGCTTCAATGGCTTGCTCCTCTTTAATACTACGATGGCCTACTAGAATTCATGGTTCGATCTGTTCGACAACTAAAGTAAAGTTACAAATTCTGACGAAGATGTTAATAGGTTGTTATTGAAGTTTATATTAGATCGGGCTGACTATGGAATATATTTAATAGGTTGCTACTGATAACGCTAATAGCTTCACGCTTGCATGATGTACTAACAATGTACTAGAATCTACTTAAGTGTGAAAAGAGAGTTTGTTGTGTTGTTCCTCAATCTTTATGTTAATGTAACAACTGGACTTTGCTTAGCTTCGATGCTCATACCCAATATACATCAACGGGTGTGTGGCCCATGGATTATGACTCATATGGATTAGGGTGTATACGTTAAGAGTTTTATTTTGGTCATGCCTCTGGACTTAACAAGAAACTCTTAGAGTTAAACCCAAGATACCCTAAAAGACTTCTCAATGTGCAGTTCAACATGGTCTTATGACACAGACATTACGTCGTAGAGAATGCATGAAACTTCAGGCATATGTATTCAAACTATCTTACAAGAACGCTTGAAGCCTCGGGCATTAGTTAGGATTGAGTTCGACATTTGACCCTAGAACCCTACAAGTCTCCCAGGTGAGTGTCTAAGGACAAAAAACCAAGATCCAAGAACTCAAGACTAATTGAGCTATTACTGACGTTATTGGAGACAATTCAAGTGGGTACATCCATTCTTTCACTGATTTAAAGTGTGTTTAAATTAGAGGACTATTTGAGATCATTAGGCACCTTAAACTCTTTAACATATTCTAACTCGATACCATAGACCCATATAGGTTGACTCATTCTCTAAGGGTAGTTTCGGACTAGCACCAAGAATAAGATGATATCTCTAACTTAGGCTAACTAAGTAAGTGACTTCACTGTTAGTTTAGTTGAACGAATTATATGATCTATGATGATGCACGCCTCGTGGCCCTTGCACATGTCATGAATGTAATTGTTGACATGTGTAATGTTGTGTTTTGTTATGCTATGCTATGCCATGCCACATTATGTTATTTTATGCTATGCTATGTCGTGTTATTCTGTGTTATGTCATGTCATATTATAAGATACACTATAATATGACTACCATATTGTGGATTTATATTTATGATATCGATGATATATGATGCATAAACCTCTATACACCACACCGTGTAAATTATGTTAAGTACGAAAGCTATGATAAGCATAAATTACACGTCTCATATGCTCGTTATGTCATGAGCGAATGGAGGTTTGATTTGCACCATAAACTTATGCTAAGATTTTAAGCTTTGGGGACCTCATGCATTTATGCATCACGTGCACCAGGATACTTCCTCATTATAATGAGTATGGACACGTATCTTACGATATCTTTGTTCGTCGTGATATTATGTGAGTCCTTTCCCTTCTAAGTAGTGTAAGTGTGCACTAGCCTAACAAGCCCGGAGGTACGTACATGAGTCTCCCTTATCATGTTTTACCTCGATTTTCCTTAGTGTTTTGCACACAAAGTTCCAGAATTGGTCGAATCTTTCGACTCCAAATTAGTCGATGTTGTCAATGGTGAACTCATATTTGGGCTTCAAATTTAACTCTTTAATGAAGTTTGACAAGTCGATCCTAACTCATGAGGCTCCGCATAACCTTTTCCTTCAACGAATACATTCATCATAGATGTGAGGTTGATTGCCTCTATAACCTAGATTCTCGTGGCACGATCGACCAAATTCTAGACTCTTAGTATTAGACTGTTCTTTGGTCCAACATGATGCCTTTGAAGGCCTTTTGAGATATGAAATATTTTGGGTCTTCTTTGCAATTAGAGTTTTCGTTCTATCAATACCATTGTGAGCACTGCAACAAATTTGACCTTTTAGGCTATTTTTCACCGTCATCGAAACCATATAATGACAGTTTGTGAACCGACACCTTTATAGGTGTCAATATTGGTTATGATGTCAGTATCAAATCGACAATGAACTTAGTTGTATCTGTATTCATTCATTGATGTTTAGCTACAACGTTAGTGTTAAACTAATATTGTAAACTAAAATGATAATAATCATAAACTAACTTATGTTCATGAATTGAACACACATGATCTAATAACAATTTATTTTAATGATATTTTACAACCACATAATTTTAAATTATTCTCGTTATAGCAACATTTTTCACGAACCTATTTTGTATGGTACAAACTTGCTATGTATATTTTCATGCCATATCAATACCGTCAACAAATACTCGAAGGATGATTATTATAGGCAAATTCTCAACAATTGACGGTTAACAAGTCTAAGTCGTTAGCTTTCATAACTTATAGTCAATACTGATAATCAAACAACGATCGATCATCCTTTCCTTTAAAATCTATAAAAAAAAGATTATTTAAATATTCAATACGACACTTCAAACTATTACTGATATGAAATATCACAAAGTAATAATGGTTGATACCCATCAAAATTTCTTTTATTTTGTAATCTCACATATTGCTTCGTGTCCCTTCGTCTCCGATCATACATAATATTAATAATAATTATAAATTTTTACTCACAACTAATAAAAAAAATGAAGCGTTGTAAATTAATAAATATATTCGATAAAAAGTTAGAAGGGTTAAGGATTAAATTGAGTTGAGTTGATACACTCAGAACTAACTATAAAATATTTTAGATTTGTTGGTTTCAAATTGTTCGGGTCATTTATTGAATTTTTTATTTTTACTAAAGGTAAAATGTTTATTTAATTGTAATATATATTTTGAAAATTTATTTAAAAAGGGGTTAGAAAAATGTTATAATAGAAAAAATAATTATAGAAGAAAAGAAAATTAAAATAAATATATGTATAATTACATCATAAATATAAAAGATGACTTCAATATGATGAGATAAAATTAATAATATATATTTTATTTTAATAATATCCTTAAATTAAAAAAAAAAAAAAATACGGTCAATATTTTACAATTTTTTTTTTGTATTTTTTTTAACAATATTTTTAAAAAAATATTCTTAAATTTTTAAAATTTTTATTAATAGGTGTAAATAAATAATTTTTGATAAAAACTTTATAGAGTTAATATTATTTTTAAATTTCATGGTATTTTTTAAACCTGGTTTATTAATAAATTATTTTTTTAATATTTTTTTAAATTAAAAAGAATATTAATAAACCTTTTCAAAATTAAAAGATATTTTAAAAACAAATAAACTTTTTATTTTATTTTATTATTATTATTATTATTATTTTAGTTTAAAGAAGAGTCAAAATTATTAAAATTATTAAAAATTTAGAAATATTTTTATTAATTTTGCCAAATATATATAAATAAAAAAAAGTATCATCAACATAGAACAAGCTTTTTTTGGTAGCAGCCTGCATCTATTTTCTGACCATATTCGTTTAATCTAAGCCTATTGATTGAGAAATGAAAGTGATGGGATATTGTGTAATAACGACGTTGCCTAATAGTTCATTCATTGTACAATATTAACGTTTTGGTACCTGATTCTAATAACCGTCGTGTCTTTTATTGTCTCGACATAATTCAACGTGATACGACTTTGATGTTGTAGTACTAGATCTTTTGTCTCCCTCGATAAGAAAATCTTGGTGGAGCAACGTCATCACACGTTTCTTTACTTCATTCATTTCATCTCTATTTTCTTAAATATACTTTAAGAATGAGTGATTGTCCTTCTCCGACCCTTACTGTCGAACTGGATAGTGGACAGCTAATGCGTTCCACTTATTGAACAGGGTTCTATGATCGGTCTGTGACCCCTGATATTGAAGGCATCCTTGGAGTGATCTTGTAGTTCCTACGTGGTGGAGACGATGGAGTCGCTCAAAGGGTTGAAGGGAAATAGTGCATCAAGCTGTTGGCAAGGGCCAACTTGATCCGTTTCCCCAAGGATCCCAGATGAGAGAACCCTAAGAATGCCACCGACTCCAACTACCGTCCATGTACGATCTATACTAGATCTGACCAACTGCCCATCCTACCTCTTATACGTTCTCGACCGCCCATCTTTGTCTCCCTAAAGTATCCAAAAGGTGGTGAGAGTTTTTTTATTTATAATCATTTACAGAATCAAATAGATTATAAAAAAATATGGAAAGAGCAATAAATGAATATAAGATATTAGTCTATAATCAAAGATTAAATATGATACATATGGTAAACAGTAATGGAAAGCTAAATATCCTCGATAGAAATGAAATAAGAAATGCATATCAAAGCATATTTCCGATTATGCCGTAACGTTCCAAATTAATTCAACGTTTGGAACTAATAATATTTTACAATATAGATCTAACGCTAAATAATTTTAGTAATTTTTCTATATTGGGTGACTTTCTAGAAATTTTCGTAAAAAATATATGGGTGAGGACAAAACATTCTAAAGGACCCGTATTAGTTTGTGAAGATAGTTTTCACTCGTAGTATCAGTTCAAGACAAGTAGGTAACGTGGTTATCGTGCAGATGAAGTAAGAGAATGTTGAGTCCATCAAGCGACGAATTTAGGTTCCAAACTCGAGTTTAAATCCTTGGCATGAGCATTACACATACAACGTGAATATAACGTAACAGCTAAAACATTTGATAATTGATATAATCATTAAAATTAAAATGTAAAATTTTTTTATTCACTATAAAAATGTTCCCAAATTTTCTTTCATAAATAATTATATAAATTCCATATTATTTTAAAATTGTGCAAACGTGGCATGTAATGAATG